CCCCCAACCGGCACCCCACCGGCCCCCCAACCGGCCCCCAACCGGCCCACCAACCGGCACCCCAACCGACCCCCCGACCGACTCCTCAACCGACCCCCTAACCGAACCGACCGGTGTGTTAGGACACCCCTAACCCACCCCCTATTCCATATTCGTAATGAAACTTTTATTCGGTACTTTCGGTTATAATTGTTAGTTTCAATTGTTTCTTACAACAAGTAAAAAAATTAATTGCAATTAATTTAATTGCAATTAAAATCAATTCAATTGAAATCAATTGCAATTGAAATCAATTGCAATTGAAATCAACTGCAATTGAAATCAACTGCAATTAAAATCAATTGCAATTAAATCAATTGCGACGTGTCGCAATTGGTTTAATTGCAATTGATATTGATTGACTATTTTTAAAATCTCCTATGTCCTGGACCTTAGTTCGTCTATGGATTTCGGAATTCGGAACTCGATCTAAAAGTTTGATGCCGAGCATGACTCGCTCCATGGCTCTTTGTGCGAGTCTCATTCTGGACACAGCCTTCTGTGTGAGCGTCCACGTATCGGCACCGCAAGTCATAGTGGGCAAGACACATTGGTTAAATAAGCTGGGCTTCAAACACTATGGAGTATCAATCGATTTTAAGATGTCATTCAGCCTACCGAATGCAGTTCATCCCACTTATATGCGTTTTGTGATTTCATTTTGCTGATGTTCTTTATCAAAGGATAAATTATGCCCAAGATAAACATACTGGTCAACTGTCTCCAGTCTCTCATTTCCTATTATAATAACATCTACATAAAATTTTTAGAAGTAGTAGAGCCCCTTCTGAAAACAGTTCGTCCAGGGAAGTAGATATTGCAACCTTTATAGCAGTAGAGCTCATTGTGAAAAGGTTCGTCCATGGAACTACTTACTGCCACCTTACCTTTTTCTGCCGCCAAGCAGCAATGTGAGTACCTATTACTGTTCCGGTTTTGAAGAGTAAGGGTACTTGGTGAAATTACAGCGACGTGCGACTATTAACTTTTGTCCCGGGGTGTCGGACGCAGGCATTGACAGTGCTTCCCAGATATAAGTGATTTAAAACTCCGAGTGGCACTGCAATTGTCATGGATAGGCGTGTAGCTTGGCATCAGGCGGACGTCTTTGGTCGTCCTACCACTTGATATTTAAAAAAAAGTAACATTGTTGAAGACCATGAAATAAAACTCAATTTTTGTATTAGACCATGGAATGTTTGTTTAGAAATGACAAGCACGGTTTGAAACAGAGTTTAAAACTGGTTTTTTAATTGGATTAAATATTAATACTTAGTCGTAGTGTCGCCGTCGTGTGGTATTATAATGCTTGCGTCGTCGGTGGTGATGTGGGCCGTGCATCTCTCCGAGATCCACCTCGTCTGTTGAATTGAATCCTTTCCAGTCTTTTATGCCCCAATATAGAGTTACACCTATAAGCAATACCATCAACACCGTGTAAACGAAAAATCTGTTGTCATAGTGCAACTTCGTGTGAGGTGAGCAAGATGCAATCATCGACGACGCCAGCTTTGGCAGTGGTTTTGGTGAATGTGACATTGTCTGCTAGCGGATTTATCTGAAACCAAAAAATGAATTAGAATGGAATTACTTGTGCTAAGCGTTAGAAAACACGTACATGTTTACTGGCAGGCGGGGAGTAACCAATTTCCGTGAAAAGAAAACACTAATAAAAATACATCTATAAAAGCATAACCACAAGTTGTGCAAGTTACTCGGCATGAGTCTCGACCGTGAAGTCGGACCCTTAGGGACCTTTAGGGGAATTTCGGTTATGATTAGAATAACTAATGTTCAATAGCAATCTCTATATTGTTTGCGTCTAACCTTAGGAACCCAAATATATTAATTCACAGTTAATAATCGAAAAAATATTGCATGGCTTAATCGAGAACACATTTAAACTGTTTATCACCGTAGAGCTTTGCGATAAAGCAATTTGTGATGTCAATTTGCGTGGTCTCAAATCTGTGGACATCGCGTTATTTACGTGGTCGTGAGTCCAATTTACCCCCTCGCAACGGGCGGTCCAAATTATAATAACCCATTAACAGCTCGTCACATACACGATAGGATGTCAATGTAGCGGTGATTTTCCGCAAAACTTGTGTGCCAGCCTGTCAAGTTTAATCGCTTGTGAAAGAACCAAAAACGCTCCGGCGCCTACAATTAAAATGTAAATTTTGTGGCTGATCTCATGCGTCGCTTTCGTAGCTGCTGCAAATATGTGCTGTAGAGTTTATGTAAAAGAAACGGCGATACGTTAGCCTCTGTGGTTAGCATTTTATGAGTAGGCGGATGGATATTCTTCACGGTCAAGAGGCTGACATGAGACTGAAACCGAGATAAAAACATCTTTCTCACCTTATAAGTACTGCAAGTATACAGAGTGTTGACGGCTCAGCCTGGATATTAAGCCATTGTAGATGGTACGTAAATGTTAAACAAAATTGGAAATTTCGATCATTCCATATCGATTATGTTTTGTTGTTATTTTTCATTTGTCAGCTTTGTGTCATTTTGGAAACAGTTGCTGTATGTTGCTCTATATAGTAAATGAAAAAGATTTTCAGAAATGAGACGTCACTTAAGATTTTGAAATCTGTCTTGGACAATA